TTTTCTGCTCTACTAACGACAATAACATGACAAACTGAGCTCTCTCAGCTTAGGAATAAAGTTGATTTTGATATGATTGTATATGGTTAGTCACTTGATAGACTAACATAGAAGAGGAGTTCATTTGATAATAAATGACACTGAGAAAGCTGTTAGACGTTCATATTAATTATAATAAATTCTAAAGCTATTAAAATGACGTCAAATAATTAATCAAAGAATTACTTAACTAGGAAATAAAAAGGAATCTTACTATTCCAAAGTTTATCATCATCATCAGCTCGCTATACGTCCCCACCGAAGGGTTCGGAGCCTACCCTAAGTTTAGGGTGATTAGGCCATAGTCAACCACGCTGGCCAAGTGCGGGTTGGTTGACTTCACACATATCTTTGAATTTCTTCTCAGATATGTGCAGGTTGCATCACGATGTTTTCCTTCACCGTAAGAACGTCGGATAAATGTACACATGTAAATCGGAAATCGAAAAACACATTGGTACATGGCGGTATTCGAACACAGGACCTGCAGATTGCAAGTCAAGTGCTTAACCCCTGAGCCACCGACGCTCAAAAGTTTATAGACGATTTAAATAAAACATCTAATTTAAATTTGATAGAAAATGTTTTGCAATATTCATGGCAGAGTTATCAAAGGTTTCTGACACCAAATCCTCTGCATAAAATATATAGTCATAGATGTTTTGAACGGGGATTTTGATTTCAGTAACCCTCGGTTAGGCAGTCATGACAGCGGTTAGTCCGCTATTTACTCATTTGTCACCTTAAAAACAAAACACTTCCGATTTGAGTATCTGTCAAACTGTTTCGGCTCTACAAGGTCACAAGAGTATAAAAACATAGACTATTATTTATACTGTCGCCGCGACTCCGTCCGCGCGGAATTAAAAAAAACATAATTAGTAGTCTATATGTTCTCTCAGACTATGTTTTATATGTATGCCAAATTTCATCGAGATATATTCATCCGTTCTGGAGATACATTTAAACAAACATCCATCCTTTCATCTAAACATTCGCATTTATAATATTAGTAAGTTTTTATTATCGGTCGGGAAATACATACGGCCTTTAGTTAATTTTCTATTAGTAACATCTATTTCCCTTACAGAAGAGACTTTCATCAAATTACGTATCCTTGTGTAATGTTGAATTAATTCCGTGTGCGAGCAGCCTAAGTGCAATATGTAGGTCAGTGAGAGTTACAACCTTAATATGTCGAAAAGGGACATTGACGAGATAGGGCGGCGGGGAATTTATTGCGGTTGGAATATTCAAGGGGAGAGTCCGCGCCGTTACAGCGCACCTGAATAGACGTTAGATGTGTGCCGATTACAGGGCTGTCAACACACATATTATGTCGAAATTCAGTTGTTTTTACACCAGTACTTTTTTGCTGTAGACTTGTCAAGCAAGCGAAACAGTACCGCTCACAGTCTAAGACAAATGTAGTATAAATTATTTTAGTATAATTATAGCGGGTTCGGTTAACGTGCACTCATCATCATCATCAGCTCACTATACGTCCCCACCGAGGGGCTTGGAGCCTACCCTAAGTGAAGGGTGTTTAAGGCCATCTTGACGCGCACTCACAAACATCTATAAGCCAAGATTTTCTCTTAAAGAGGTTACTATTTCTTACTTATAGTTAGTCTTAGTAGTAGATATATATAAGAATTTGTCAATTACTCTCAATTAAAGAGCTTCCTTATTAAAAAGGTTTGACAATTATAGTAAATAATTATTCCATAATAGATGTAGTTGACAACCCTAAAGTGAGGTCTCGCGTTAATATCTGAAAATTTTATTGCGGTCTCCGGAGTCGGTTTGAGAATGTTATGCTGCGAACTGCTCAGGTTTTATGTTTATTTTCTAATCGAACTCACATTTTATCATCTGTGCTATCAACGAAATTTTTGTAAATGATGTTCAACCTCAAATCTTACTTAATATTATAAATGCGAATGTTTGGATGGATGTTTGTTAGAAGAAATCACCAATAAGGCTGTACGAATCTCGTTCAAATTTGGCATAGATGTTGAACATATTCTGGAAAAACACAGGCTACTAATTAAGATTTTTTTAGTTCATTGAAGTCAATCATTCGACAAATCATTAACATAGTAAAGCACATAAAATGCTGTATAATATATTAACGAGACACCCAACAAGACAAAAACACTATCAAAAGATAATAAAATGAAATTTTTTTATGATTTTGTGTTCAATTTTAACAAAATTAAATTCGTTCATACAATCAGAGCTCCATTAAAATTGACAACATTTCAAAGAAAAGCCATTTCACTCCTTGTTTTTAATTCACTAAAGTTTTCATTTTTAACAAAGCGTAAGTGCTTGAAGCGTAGTTAAAACTTTTTTAAATTGTCCTATTTCGCTTGAAAACATTTATTTTAGTAAAATATTCTTTAGTGTTTTCGAAGGCATAGCGTTGCGCTTTCATCCGTAACGTAAACCCGTACTGAAAATCTAGCCTACGATTTAAATTCCAAATTAAATTTCGACATAATACAGTCAAAATTGAACCTTATTAAGAATGTTATAGAGGTGTTTGTTTTAGAATAAATTTGTTGTACTAGGATTTTCTATTGATAGTAACTAGAGTGGAAGAATGGAGAGCAATGGGATTCGTGTTATACGCAACTAGGCTGGTATTGAAGCTCCATTAAATATACACCGTACTTTAGTTTTTAGCGTTTAAAACTAGACTAGAACTTAAGCTGTTAAGTACATAAAAACCTTACCTACCTAAATAGAGGACAATATTTTTTTTCTAAAAGGAAAACGAAAGAGAATTTACTGTAGTTATTTTACTTCTTACTATCTTACTTATAAATGCGAATGTTTAGATGGATGGATGGATGTTTAATGGAAGGTATCACCAGAACGGCTGAACAGATCTCGATGAAATTTGGCATACATATAGAACATAGCCTGGTAGAACACAGATTACTAATAATGTTTTTGTTAATACCGCGCAGACGGAGTCGCGGGCGACAGCTATTCAAAATATAATTTAAAATAACAAAATTAATCGAGCATGAAAAGAGCTTACTTTCATAAGACCATTACTCTGCCGACGTCTCTACACTTCCAAATTTAATGAACGCAACTATAGCAAACTTGAACCATCGACTGACATACACAAGTTAAAAGAAACCTTCAAGTTAAGATATAAAGTTTAAAATACATTGATTGATGTTTACGAAGATTTTGATAGACCGAAACACGGGAAAGGCGTTCCTGGTATAATGATGACAATAGGAAAGCTTGTAGTCAAAGTTTAGTTCACTAATGAACGGGAACCAGTACACTCTGAGTACGGCAACGTTAAGCGGTGAAACAGTCTACTTAACAAATGCTATTAATTATCCATTTACGCCTACAATGTTGATTCTTGACAAATACTTGCCTTTTCAAATTCAGAAGCTTAATAATTACATTGTCTATTAAGAAATTAAAGACCATACGTTCTCCCATGTATCTTTGTAGATAAATAATGATCCCACGGAATTAAGGTAAAATTAATAGTCTATGTGTTCTTCCAGACTGTGTTCTACATCTATACCAAATTACAGCGCTATCCATGCAAAGGTTCCGGATGTATCTTCAAACATCCATCCATCTAAATATTCCCATCTTACTAATATTATAAATGCGATTTTTTTAGATGGATTGATGTTTTTTTTATAGGAGAAGGGACAAACGAGCAACTAATCGCCTAATATTATTTGATCCTACGCCTATAGACATCCGCAAAGCCATGTGTTTTTTTGTTTGAAGGTATCTTGATAACGGATGTATGGATTTCGCTGAAAATTGGCATAGATGTAGAACACAGTCTGGAAGTACACATATACTTATTAAGTTTCTTTTATTACCTTGCGGACGGAGTTGCGAGCGACAGCTAGTTTATATTAATAGTAACATTATATTATTATTGAGTACTTTTATACCAAATTATTACTTATTAGTTTTTTAAATCCTTAAAATTCGTCTAATATACAAAGATGAAACCTGAATCTAACGACTAATGAAATTTGTTATTCATGATTATAATTTTAAAGTCTATATATATGTATATAAAAGAAAGTTGTGTTAGTTACACTATTTATAACTCAAGAACGGCTTTACCGATATGGTTGAAAATTGGTAAGTGTAATATATGGTATGAATTAAACGACGGTTAGCTGGGGACTGGTTTATTTTGCCAAATTAACAGGGTAGGTTGACATCACCTACCTACATTAACAATAATACATTACAATATCCCTCTCCAGATGAATTACAATGAAAATTAAAGCAATAATAATTGCACAAACTTAAATGACTAATCAAGAAAAGAAAACTTTTTTTTTGTTTAATATAAATAAATTAATCGGTTACAAAAACAGTGTGAAATTAACCAAGCTACCATCACATACACCGCCCTTAAAATGTTGCTAGTTCCAATCAGGCAAACAAATTAATAAGACTTTTAAATAAACAAAAAAAACTTAAAATTAATCGTAACTTAACTTGACGGTAACTTGTACACAAGGATATTGTTATAAAAAATAGAACGAAATTTAAGAAAAATAGTTTTTAGTACTAACTAGGGAAATATGAAAATATTATGTTTATTAAGTGCAATACAATAGTAGGTAAAGTAACTTAAAATAAAACAAAACCAAGAAAAAAAAGGAAATAAAAAAAAGATTACGAAAAAAAAAGAATAATAATTATGATATCTATTAAACGTAATGTGAATACTTGTATATTTTAAAGTTTCATTTTTTTATTTGGCGTGGCCTTAAATTATAACGCTTTTGTTCTGGTGTTTGAGTGGGGATCGAAAGCTCAGGCACAATATTAGTTTCGTACGATGAAGCACACGAAATTTCGTCTGTTTTCGAAGTGGAACTCGAATTAACGCTTTCGCGCGCCGCTGGTACTCTCGTTTCCGCAGTGTCGTCCCCCTGTACCTGAGAACATTCATTATCTTCACTATTTTCATTTTGAATGGGTATATGCCACGAGTGACGCAAATTTTTCTTAGGAATTATTTGATCAATATGTCTGGTCTTTATTTTATCACCGGTATTAACCGCGTAGGTGACCTTGCCCGTACGCTCTGTCACTATTCCCTCCATCCACTTGTCTCCTTTTCCGTAATTCCTAACTAGTACGACATCGCCGACACCAAGATTGCGCGCGCGCCCCCCCGCGTGCCGGAGCTGCGTGCATTGCGCGCGCGCCACCGCCTCGCCCGTGGCGGCGGCGGGACGCAACAGATCGAGACGCGTCCGTAGCCTTCTCCCGAGCATGGCTACAGCCGGTTCGCGTTGTGTGGTGCAATGCGTACTGTTGCGATACTGCATTAAAAATTTGCTTAACGCGCGGTCGACATTTTCGCCCTCCACTTGAGCCTTTTTGATGACCTTTTTCACGGTCTTTACAGCATTTTCTGCCGCCCCGTTGCTCGACGGATGGTACGGTGCCGTAACTATATGGTCTACACCATTTGTCTTCAAAAACTCCTCAAATTCACAGGAAGTGAAAGGTGGCCCTCCATCCGTAACAATTTGTCTAGGAATACCAAATCGAGCAAATAATTCTCTGAATTTATTTTCCACCGTAGCCGCAGATGTTCCGCCACACATGTGAAACACCTCGATCCACTTAGAATGAGCATCGATGACGAGCAAGTAATATCGCCCACCATGTTGTAGAAAGTCCGCGTGCAACCGGGTCCACGGTTCCGAAGGCCAGGCATAAGGCACAGGAGTGGCGCACGGCGGCGCATCCCTCTGGTCGCGACACGCGGCGCACGTGCGCGCGCGTTCCTCCAGCTCCGCGTCGAGCCGTGGCCACCACACATAGCTGCGAGCTATTTGCTTCATCCTTACCATGCCCACGTGGCCCGCGTGAACCTCCTCCACTATCTGTTTGCGCAGGGTACCAGGTATGACCACCCGGTATCCCCACACGATGCATCCATGATCGACGTGTAGCTCCTTCTTGCGATGAAAATAAGGCTTCTCGCCTTCGATTTCGGTCTGCTGTGGCCAACCGCTTATAATATGCCCATATATCTTTCTTAACGTAACATCCTTTGCCGTCTCCTTTGCCACATCCTTATGGCTAAGAGGGAAGCTGTCTTCAACAAAATGCAAGTAAGTCGCAGCGTCCTCCTCCTCCGTCGACTTAGTTGAAGTCGGCTGCGGTAGGCGGGACAAGCCATCGGCGTTGCCGTTTTTGTCCGTAGATACGAAGACGATGTCGAAGTCGTATGCCGCTAGACGTACAGCATATCTCTGCAATCTACTAGCTGCCGTTTGTGGTATGCCGTGTTTCGGTCCGAAGATGTACGTGAGTGCCTTATGATCACTCCGAAGAGTAAATTTACGTCCAAACAGATATTGATGGTGCCTGCTTACCCCGTAGACGATCGCCAGTGCCTCCTTGTCGATCTGGCTGTAGCGCCGCTCCGTGTCGGTGAGTGTGCGCGAGGCGCAGCTGATGATGCGTTCGCTGCCGTCGGGCATGCGATGCGCCAGCACGGCACCCAGACCATACGCGCTGCTGTCCACGGCGAGTACCAGCGGCAGCGACGGCGAGTAATGCGCTAGCGCGGGCCCGCTAACTAACTTATCCTTAACTGCTTCGAATGCCCGCTCGCAATCCCTATTCCAACACCATTTACTGCCTTTCGCCAATAACTTATACAATGGATTTAACAATGTACTCATGTTCGGAATGAAGCGCGAATAATAATTAATTAAGCCTAACGCTGCTCGAAGTTGTGATACATTTTTCGGCACAGGTAAATTTACAATGGCGGATACCTTACTCTTATCTGTATGTACCCCATTTTTATCAATTCTATATCCTAAATATGAGATTTCATCCATAAAAAACTCACATTTTT